AAAACTCTGTAAGTGCCAAGAGGAAGTAAATGTCAAAGGCTAAATAAATTTTATTTCAGCACTGTCATCTGTGAGCATTCATCCAATGCAACCCCCATTTTTTCAGCAGAGCAGGTGCCAGTGTGGTATGTACCCAAGAGTTCTTGAAAGAACTCAAATATTAAATTGCTGGTCTTCTGTATATAAAAAAGGAATATCTCCAAGACTGGCTACCAGAGGACTGGAATTCAGGTAACATGATGCCAAGATTTAATAAGAGATCCAGCAGGGATCTGTGGTATCGCATGGTGGTTAGATTAACTTCTGCTCCCAGTAAATTGGTGGATAGCATTATTTAAGATAAAACTATAGAGCGCAGAACAGAAGAGGCCTCACTGAAGAAGACTCAGCATGACTTCTTCCTCACGAATCATTTTAGAGTTTTTGAGAGCCTCAGCAAAGCATGTGGAGACAAGGCAAGGCAAGCTCCAAGCAAAGTGTTCTCTGGTTTCATCTCTTCTGTTGACGAGCCCCAAAGGACTTATTGGGAAGAGAACAGGAGAAAAGCCCTGCTAGATCAGACTAGAGGCCCATCTAGTCTTCTTCTTCTTCTTTGGCGATCACTTCTAGCTGAGTAAGATTGTCTTCCCTAAACACTGTTTTAACAGTGGGTCCGTAAGTGACTGTGGAGGCCAATTCTGGATCCACACGTCCTTCCACAGTGGGGACATAAGTTTCTGGGTGGAGGTTGATCATGGTGATGGTTTGCCCAGTGTGCCTTCCTCTTAGTGCTTTTCTCCCTTATGTCCTGAGTTTGAGCGTCTTCAAAGTCCATGACACCTTTGGTAAAGGATGTTTTCCATTTGGAGCGCTCGCAGGCCAGTGTTTTCCAGTTGTTGGTGTTTATACAACATTTGTTTTAGATTTGCCTTGAGAGAGTCTTAAACCTCTTTTGTTGACCACCCACATTACGCTTACCATTTTTAAGTTTGGAATAGAATAATAATCAGGCATCCGCACAACATCACCAGTCCAACAAAGTTGATGTTGAAGAATCATTGCTTTGACACTGGTGATCTTTGCTTCTTCCAGTACACTGGCGATAGTTTGCTTGTCTTCCATCTAGCACACTAGCCAGCCTGGTGTAGTGGTTAAGAGTGGTGGACTCGTAATCTGGTGAACCGGGTTCGTGTCCCCGCTCCTCCACATGCAGCTGCTGGGTGACCTTGGGCTAGTTACACTTCTCTGAAGTCTCTCAGCCTCAATCACCTCACAGAGTGTTTGTTGTGAGGGAGGAAGGGAAAGGAGATTGTTAGCAGCTTTGAGACTCCTTAGGGTAGTGATAAAGCAGGGTATCAAATCCAAACTCTTCTTCTCCTTCTTCTTCTTAGCCAAGCAGATCCCTGGCGGAACCTGCAAGCAGGACATGAACACAAAAGCTGAGCTCCCAAGCAACATATTGTTACATGCCACCCCAATCTCTAAGTGGTGTGAGATTCCAGGTGTACCAGATGCACTTACCAGGGTCTGTCGGGGCAGATTTAGAGCTGTTTGCCCCCACTAGGTGCTGAGAAGGAGATGTGAGGCTCTGACAAGCTCCTAGGGTCCCCCCAGCTCCTTCCCAAAACCTATTTAGAGCTTTCCCAGCTTTGGGAAGGAAGTGGTAGGGCTCCAGAACCCTGCCAGAGCCCTTGTTCCTTCTTCCCAAAGCCTGGTGCCTCCTTACCCACCTTCAGGAAGGCAGCGCAAGGACTGGAGTAGGGAGGGGCGCCAAATTTTGGGCTCACACAGGGCACCATTGTACCCAAGTCTGCTCATGGGTCTGTGTTCCCTTTTTGACAATGAGGCACGGCGGAGTTCTGGGATGTCTTTATGACCCATGGTTTATTTACACATATATACAACCTGAATTCAATGGAAGAATCTCCAGCATTACATTCGAAGAGGTTCTGGCCTCTCCCATTGCCACAGTACTAGGTTCGAAAACAGACGTCAGCATCCTGCTTTTTTGACTCCAGCCCACAGCTTAGTAACTCTGTTCCTTAACTTGTAACTGCCATTCTAAACTCTCCTAAAAACACTGGTCATACCTTTAAAACGAGATGTTATTCTGCCCCCCCCCCCGCTGTGCACTATTGTTTACCCATTCTTGCTATTTATTTCTACTGCTGTATTTTATTACAGTGGTACCTCAGGTTAAGTACTTAATTCGTTCTGGAGGTCCGTTCTTAACCTGAAACTGTTTTTAACTTGAAGCACCACTTTAGCTAATGGGGCTTCCTGCTGCTGCTTCCTGAAGCGCATGTAACCTGAAGCGTATGTAACCCGAGGTACCACTGTATTTCTTTTTGCGGCAACCGTGTTTTAATCAAAAGTTTTGATTTTACAAAAGTTTGTTCATGTCATGTGGGCTGGCTAAGGATGCCTAACACATGGCCTCCGCCAACAAAAAAATCCTGGGAACTTTAGTTTTCTTCTCACACAGCTACAATTCCCCACACCTTTTATCAAACTAGGGTTCCTAAGGTTCTTCTGAGGAAGCCCAGTGTTTAGAAGTGTGGTGTGGAACAGGAATGGTATACTACCTCTAGGATCGGGGACAGAAAGCAGCAGGCCTTGCGCTTGTGGGCTTCCCAGAAAGGTGTCAGCTTGGCCACGGGGAGAGAGGACTCAGGGTCCCTTCCAACTCTACAATTCTATCCTTCATGCGGATATTTGAAGATGGCTATCATATATCTCCTCTCAGGCTCCTGTTTTCCAGGCTAAACATACCCAAGTCCCTCAAGTGTTCCTCATAAGGCTTGGTTTCCAAATAATAATAATAATAATAATAATAATAATAATAATTTATTATTTGTACCCCGCCCATCTGGCTGGGTTTCCCCAGCCACTCTGGGCGGCTTCCATAGAAACAAAAAATACAGTAAAATATCACAGATTAAAAGCTTCCCTGAACAGGGCTGCCTTAAGATGCCCTCTAAATGTCAGGTAGTTATTTACTGCTTTGACATCTGATGGGAGGGCGTTCCACAGGGCGGGCGCCACTACCGAGAAGGCCCTCTGCCTGGTTCCCTGTAGCTTTGCTTCTCGCAATGAGGGAACCGCCAGAAGGCCCTCGGCGCTGAACCTCAAACCCTTGATCATCTTGGTGGGCCTCCTCTGCACACATCCCAGCTTGCAAATATCCTTATTAAATTGTGGCACTCAGCACTGGACACAGTACTCCAAGTGGGGTCTGGCCAGGGCAGAATAAAGGTAAAGGTAAAGGGACCCCTGACAATTAGGTCCAGTCGTCACCGACTCTGGGGTTGCAGCGCTCATCTCGCTTTATTGGCCGAGGGAGCCGGCGTACAGCTTCCGGGTCATGTGGCCAGCATGACTAAGCCGCTTCTGGTGAACCAGAGCAGTGCACGGAAACGCTGTTTACCTTCCCGCCAGAGCGGTACCTATTTATCTACTTGCACTTTGATGTGCTTTTGAACTGCTAGTTTGGCAGGTCACTGAGATAGTGAAATGGGAGCTCACCCCGTTGCAGGGATTTGAACCGCTGACCGCCTGATCAGCAAGTCCTAGGCTCTGTGGTTTAACCCACAGCGCCACCCACATCCCCAATAGAGTGCAGAATAGAGGGCAGAATAGAGTGGGATTATTACTCCCCTTGACCGGGGCAGCCTAGAATAGCATTAGCTTTTTTTGCTGCTGCATCACACTGTTGGCAAGGCTTGCTTTCCACATTGCTTTCCACATGTACCACTGGCAAGCCAGGTGACCCTCATCTGACATTTGCGTAGCTATGTGCCGATCCTGCCTATGCGCCGATCGTGACATGGGTCGCTATGTTAATTCGTTCCGTTCGTTTGGGCCCAGCCGGTCTCCTTCAACTTATTCGCATGTCCTTCACGAAGACTGCCTCTGCCATTCAACCGCCCGCTTGCCCCGGGCAAGCCGCGCTCTCCAGCTCACCGTTTGCGCAGTGCACGGTCAGGACGCCGATCGCCTTTCCAAGGCCGTCGAGAGGGAATCCCAAGCAGCTGATGCGAGAATCCTCGAGGGCCGCTATGATAAATGCTTAAAAACACACACACACACCACACATTCCTCTTGCTCCTCACTTTGCGCGCAAGCAAGGCGCACCATTTAGTTCCATAGCCGTGCGCTGGCACCCTTGGGAACCAGCTTGGGGGGTCAGAAGAGAGGACCCTTTGGCAGCTCCACCTTTTTGGCGATTCTAGCGAGGGGGAGGGGAGGCCGTCAAGGAAAGGGGAGGAGCCAGGGGCGGGGCTAAGCGCGCCGCCCCTGCCCCCGCCGCCGCGCTGGTGGCTGCGCGCAGCAGCAGCACCAAGGCGAAGCAGGAGCTCGGAGTTTCGGGCGCGCTGCTGGAGACGCGCCGCCGGGGCTTCCCAACACCGTCGCCATCCCCGCTCGCTACCGGGACGGAGGACGAGGAGGAGCGGCTGCAGGGCCAGACGCCGAGCCGAGGAGGTTGCGCAGCGTCTCCGGAGAGGAGGAGAAGGCGGAGGAGGGCGACGACCCGGCCGAGGCAGCCGCCGCAGCCCGCGCGCGGAGCCCATCCCGGGCGGAGCGAGGATGCTGCGCGCCCGCCCGCCGGCGCCGCCTCTGGCGGTGCTGCTGCCGCTGCTGCTCTTGCCCGGCGGGACGCTCCGGAGCGCGGCCGGCAGCCAAGGTGAGCGCGCCGGGCGAGGGATCGGGAGGGCGCCGGGCGTAGCGGGGCATGGGGGGAGCGAGCGAGCGAGCGCTTGCCGGGGCGCCCGTGACCCTTTTTTGGCGGCCCGCATCGGGCTTCGCGGGGCTTCGGAGGCGCAGTCCATCCAGCTGCCCGGATGGGAAGGATGAAAATAAAAAAAAGGCAGCTTTCTCCACGTTGGTTCTTCTCTTCCAGCCCGTCTTCTCAGGGGTGAGGAGAGGGGTTTGGGGCTCGTCCGGCAGAGTTCATGATAGAATGGGAGAGTTGGAAGGGTCCACGAGGGTCATCTAGTCCAGCCCCCTGCAATGCAGGAATCTGCCCAACGCGGGGGTCGAACCCACGACCCTGAGATTAAGATTCTCATGCCCTTCCGATCTGGCGGTTGTGCCCACGATCTCCGCCGTATCAGACAGGCGTCCGGAGGCAATGCACTCTGCACCTGCTCAAGGGCGCCCTGGCCGTAGGTTTGACACATCTTCCCGGGTTTGTTGCGGGTGGGAGGTAGCGGTGCTGGAGATGGGAGCTTGGGCAAAGCACGGGCATGAAGCGAGCTCTTCTTTTTCATCTCTCTCCCCCCCCCCATCTGTAAGATCATTTCAGTAGCAGCTTCTCTCGCCTTCGCTTTTCTCTGCCCCCCCCCCCCGCCACCCCCAGTTGCCCTCTCATCCTCCCGACTGGTAGGGGCAGTGCTTTTTTCCTTGGGGGGGGGGCGCAGGGGGACGCATACTCCTAAACATTTTGTGAATCTAAGTTTGGCCTCACTGAGGGGCAGCATTTCAATATGAGTAGGAAAATGAGAGTACCCCTAAACATTTTTTTTAAAAGAAAAATAGCACTGGGTGTGTGGGGCGGTGAATAGGAGCAGCACTATTTGCAGGGGAAAGAACTTGCCTGGCTCCTGTTACATCCAGGAAGAAATCTCCCCAGCGAAGGTTTTCCCCATTGCTTTCATTTCCAGACCAGGAAAATCTTCACCTGCTTTTAATGCCTACATGTTTGGCTGATGTTGATACTGAAGCAGAGGAGGAAAAAAAATAGTTGACAAAAGGAGGTTTTTTAAAAACCTAGAGGTAAAAGTGTGGGCAATTTTTTCCTGATCTTTCACTGCAAGTGTGTGAGTGAAGATTTGTTTGCATTTTAGTCTAAACAACTTCTGGTTATACATACAGTATAAGGGGTGGCAGTTGTTTTGCAGAATACAAGGGCCTTCTGAATACGACTCATACTGGTAGCTGATGGTCCAGAAAGAACCATTTTCACAGAATTGCAAGGGATCCCTAAGAGTCATCTAAACCAACCCCCTACGACACAGGAATCTCAGCTAAATCAAACATGATTTCAGCATCTTTCCATGATTGTGGTGGCCACCGCAGGCTTAGAAGACTTTGCTTCAGTGGGCTGTTCAATACCGTTTTTGTCTTATTTGGGCTGGCAGGATCACATTGTGAAGAAGATTCAGTGTGTAGAGCTATGGAGATGGCTCTTCTGGAGTGCAGGGGATTAGTCTGGGAGAAGAAGTGCTTCGCCTCAGATTCTGTGGGGCTAGGATGAGCAAAGAAAAACCCACCATCCAGCAAGCAGGTTGTCTGCCTGTCCCTTCCTAAGGCATATGTCTGCGTCGGTGGCAATAGCTGGCAGGTCTTATTCCTAGCTCTTATCAACTGAACACCCCCCCTATAATTTTTTTAATATAATTTTATAAAATTATAAATTGGTGGTGCCTTTAGAATTCCTGCGTTTTAGTTGGTTGAAGGGTATGGGAACGGCTTGGACAGTATGCATTTAGATGGAAAAATAACTCCAAAGTGACTTATTTGTAGAGCTACTTTGTGTGTATGAAAGCCAGTTCATTCTGCTCACTTAACTTGAGCTGTATGAAGTCTGTATAAAGAGGTGCTTATAAATGACCTCCCCTATTTTTATAGCGTTTCCCCCCTCCAGATTCTAGTATGGCGAGCTTAAGTGGGGGTTATAAGACTCAGATGCCATTTTTGCATGTGTTGGGTCAAAGGTGTGAGGGGGGGCAGTTCTTCCTGTCGCCAAAGAGAAGTGGGATTTCATATCTCTTTCAGTTACTTTCATAATTCCTGGGATGATAGCCTTTGCCATGCAATGAAATCAAGATACAGTGAGATCTGATGAGAGTGTTTGTGTGTGCTCGGAAGAGGACAGTAAATGAGCAATTTTGCAACAGGAAAGCCAGATGCTTTTGGAAGATTATTGGCATCTAATAGTTCTTTTATTTTGAAGCCAACGCATAACAAGGTTTGTCGCTAGATGAGGATTGGTCTTGTTATATTGCGTGGTTTGATAGTCAAAGCCTTACTGGCAATGCCTCTATGTGATGTGAACAGAGAGAAAGGTTTCCTGACTATCACCCAGAAGAAAATGATTTGTCAAAACAAAACAAAACCTTCTTTATAGGTGTAATCCCACCCCCCACGGAAAAGCCTAAATTGTGGGGTCTGCAACAAACTGCTGCAGTGTTCCTGTCAGCCATTCTCTCTCAGCAGGACATTTCCTTTCTGTGGCTACTGAGGGTGTTTAGCCTTCACTGCCCCCGGTTTCAAGACTGTCATTTTGCAAACCTCAGGGATATCTCCTCCACCCTACAGTTGCCCTTTTTTTGGCTGCAATGCTGTCAACACCAAACGCATGAGTTGCTGTTTGAATAAGTTATTGTAACACATGAATACTTGTGCATGGGGTGTTAGCCTCAATAATTAGAATAACTGTGTCTATAGCTATATTGATGTTTGATTGAACTGTTTGATCTGCCCTTCATGGAATAATATTTCTGCGCTGAATGCTATCATCTGGATGACGGGATGGAGGACATTAGACATTTCTAACACAAAGGCATTTTACCTTGCTCACCCTCCCAACCCCCATGATCTGCACTGATATGGTAATGAGAGGCTGGTGGATTTGGGGCTTGGAAAATGTTCACAAGCATCTTACTTAGGAGAATGGGTGTGAAATCTGCTGGGAGCCCTTTCTTTGTGGGAGAAATCTCCTAAGCCAGGTCTCCATTGGTGATCATATAGACAGATGGGATCAGTTCAGAAATAAACCCAAATGGTGGTATGTGCTAATTATACTTTGCAACCTAAGGCCAAGGGCTGGCACTGTGGGTTAAACCATAGAGCCTAGGACTTGCCGATCAGAAGGTCGGCGGTTCGAATCCCCGCGACGGGGTGAGCTCCCGTTGCTCGGTCCCTGCTCCTGCCAACCTAGCAGTTTGAAAGGACGTCAAAGTGCAAGTAGATAAATAGGTACCGCTCCTGCAGGAAGGTAAACTGCGTTTCTGTGTGCTGCTCTGGTTGGCCAGAAGCGGCTTAGTCATGCTGGCCACATGACCCAGAAGCTGTATGCCGGCTCCCTCGGCCAGTAAAGCGAGATGAGCACCACAACCCCAGAGTCGGCCACGACTGGACCTAATGGTCAGGGGTCCCTTTACCTTTAACCTAAGGCCACCATGGTTAGGATCTCCCCTATTTAGCACTTGTCTCTAGACATAGTGACCTATAGAGATGGATCAGTAGCATGGCTACAGTTTGTCAAAGCATATGTTACACCAAAGTGCATTTAACACATATTGTGGCTTTTTATTTGCTAGATGACCACAAACCACGGTTTGCCAATGCACTGCCATGCCATATCATGGTTTGGCTTCCTCAACCATGGTGTGGCACGATTTCTGAATTAAGTCCTAGACTGACAGAGTTTCCTGATGGGCAATTAGGTGTATTTGTAAATACAGTATACTGTATGTGTGTGTTTTCAAAAAGTTGGCACTCCCAGAAAGATGGATTGAGGAAGGCAAAATATAGCTAGGAAGTGAATTTATTTATACCTTGGCAGAGATCAGTTGATGCTATAATTTTGTTCTGTGTGGCATGTTTTAGTGAGGGGCCTGGGTGTCTTTCTGCTTAGATGGAAAGCATGGGTTTATTCCCTTAGGAAAACATAGTTTCTGACTGGAAAGTACTCAGTCAAAAAGCCCAGAGTTGTGTGCACAGTGCTGACTGAAAATTTCAGCTCCGGGAGAGAGTCAGAGCTGCTGTAACAGACTGTTTTCCCAGACCCATCTTTTGGGACAGTGTATCTTGAAGCTCATAACTTTGAGATGTGTGGGAAGCCTTTTCAGTTATGCCCTCCTAATATTTCATTAGCATGGCAAAATGAAATTAACCCTAGTCACATCCTACAAAGTCAACATACGCGCTGCAGGAACGACTGACTTTGTGGAACTGAGCAGGTTATTGGCTTGAAACTGCATAGCCAAATTTGGAAGAGGATGGGGGGGGGAGAAGGTTGGAAAATAACCAATGAATTATGCAGTCAGATACAGGATTGTTGCACCTTGTCTACTTGGCTGCTTCCGTTCACCCTCTGTTCCTGCCCTTTTAAGAGGGACATGGCATTAGAAGTGAACCAGGGTTTATTCGCTAATGGCCAGTTGGTACCATTTGGAAGTTTATTTGTAAACAAGCATTATTTGACAAATGCTTTGCACAGCAGGGGGTGCCTTGGCCAATTATGACCAAACAACACTGTCTCTGGAAGTGGCTCGCCTTGCAGTGAGCCAGCCACCATTCATTGCGACAATAGTCACTAATGTCCTTTTTCTAGGGTCCTTGGAAGTTCAGCTTCCTGAAGCGTAGCTGTACTCCTTCCAACATGTGGAATAGAACTGAGGATCACTTGAGCTGGTTCTGCAGGCTGATGGAAAAAGCTTAAACTACCCCCCCTCCACTTTTATAACCAGTGTCAGTTTTTTGTTTTTTTTTAAAAGAAGATTATGGGCCCAATCAAGATTTCATTGATTTCAGCGAGTTGGCATATTCTTAACTCTCCCCCATTAAAATGAACGAGTCTTGAAACTATTAAAGAATCTTGCTGTATAATTCAAATAGACTTTTTTTATTTTTATGAAGTTTAATTTTCCGGCAAAGATCTTTAATCGCTTGGCTTTGTAAGGGCACTGGTCTCCCCCCTCCCACCCCGCTTTTCTTTGAGAGCTAATAATTGGAATTTTCTGTGGCCTTGTAACAAATATTATATCGCTGTTACATCTGAGTGAATGTTAGAGGATTTGGTTCTGGATAGAGAGATTTCTAAAAGTTAACCTGCCTGCTCTTCAGAATTATGAGTGGATCAGCAGTGATACTTTAAAGCAGCTAAGTTGAAAAGCACTCGTCAAGATCTCCAGAAAGCAATGCAAGGCTGAAATAGGTTTTTGATTAGCACTATAATGACATCACTGCTATACTTTACTGGTCAAGACCTAGCTCTTTTTTTAAATAGGTACTTGCTGCTCAGTTGTGCTGCTAAGGCAGGCCCCCTCAAACTCAGCCCTCCAGATGTTTTGGGGCTACAACTCCCAT